AGCAAAATAAGCTATATAAGTCATTAAATTATTAATTTAAACAACATGCCAATGCTTGATGAGATATAATGACACAAAGTGATATTAATTTGCTATGATTTTTGCTATTCTTTAAATATGTCAACAACTGGCTTTGCTATTACTCAGTTATGGTCTTTTATATTATTTGATATTATATTTATATTTTATTTCAATTAAAGTAATAGCAATTTTTGATGTTCTGATCCCCAATTGTAATAGAATAATTTGCTATTGATTTGATATTCTTGTCTACACGGGGAATGTTTCATCAAATGCCCCAACTAACCATACTCGAGCAAAGTATGTATATACAAAGCTATATTGCGACTAAATGGTTACTTGGATACTCATATGGCCGTCAGAATGGTTCATCGGTTGCAAAGTGAAGTATTTCTGAAAGTGATGCGTTATATTTCTCAATGTTTTGATTTTATCCTAACGTTACCTCAATATTATATCACAGACAAACAAACACAACATATTGAACATTTCTCATTGAAATACATCGTCGCTTAAACACTACCCGAGTAAAGTTAAATATCAAAATGATATCAAATTATGTTTTAGTAATCATGTTGATAACATATTTTGATATGCATTTTTTTTAATTTCGTTTGATTTTTTTTTTATCTTTATTCAAGAGATATTTAGCCAAAGGCTAGTTCATCTTTATTTTGGTTGAATTATATTTTGATATAACTGTGATATTTCTAAAAAATCAGAAAACTACATTTTTTCTTCTTACGAGTCAATCAGGATGCTTGCTGTTTTCTTTTTGAACATCATAAAGACAATTATGATTTCTACAGTTATATTTTACAACATTTATTGATATTAATCTACCTGTGAATTGAGTTTTAAAATCTATATAGCTGACTTATTTTGTTTATTATTAACGAAATTAACGAAAAACACGTATATGGATTTGTTACACGAAAAATAATTTGTCATCTTTTTAATATCCTTCATATACCATTTAGATTTCTTCTTTGTTATGATTACCGTTAACTCGACCACACGGCAGGCAAAATATGTTATCACAAACGCTTATATCAATATATCAAATTTAGTTTTCATTTGTTTCCATTCTCTGCTCGCTTACCGCCATCTGTCGTATACGCTGTGATCGGTAATGCACTCAATAGATGGCTGTAGTGTGTAAACGTTAAACGCAAGGTAATTGATTATACGCGCCACAGGCATAATTCTGTAAAATGATATACGAAGCTTTTGTAGGTTTTGATAATAACTTCAAATTTAAGAATATTATTAAATATATAATTATAGAATATAATTAAAATCTGTATCTCTTTTGCATGACGAACTAGCGAAGGCAGAACTTGTTATTGTTTTTCAGTTAATGTAATTTACATTCATCAAAAAACAGTGGTGGATGCAGTTCGCTCTAGTTTATCATGCACAGAAATACAGAGTTGTAAAATTGTAGCTATTGTTAAAACCTACAAAAGCTTCATACATCATTTTACGCAATTCTGTTGATGAAAAAAGTTAGACGCAAATGAATGTAATTGAATGCACGAAATGAATGTAAATCATTTTCCATGCCTGCTGCCAACTAATAAACATTTAAATTGACCGTTAAAATCGATTTCGAAGAATATTTCAAGAGTGTTATGTCTGGTTCTCTGTGATTATATCTTCACTATCGCAACTTCGGGTAATCCGCGAAAGAACTTGCCTTTTTCTCAGGCACCTTTGATCTTACTGCAATCACTCTCTGATACTCGAAATGTGCCACGACCGAATCGCAAGGTAATTGCATATTTCATTATTTGTTCCAAAAATCACGAAAACAATAAAACTCGAAAGAATTGCTCATATTTGAAACAAGGGAAAAAACATAAAAACATTGCATTTTGATTGATTGCCACACTTGCATTTTCAAATTTCTGGGGATGTATCAAAAAAATATAAAAAGTTCTCCGAGTCCGAATAGTCCGAAAAATGTGTTACGTGTTTAAATAAAAAAATCCCTGAAGAAGGTTACAAACGCACCGAAACGTTGGACAAAAAATAAAATAGTAATATTTTGATTTTGATTTTGAACGAGACTGAAAAGTCGTCCACAACACACATAAAATCTTAAAAACAAGATTTATATAAGGCTGACTAAGCTAGAAATCATTCGGTCTGATGACCATTCGGCCTCAGGACTATTTGGCCTAATGGCCGGAAACTCATATTATCTGTGAAATTCATTCAAATTTATTCCCCTTTAAGCATCGATTACCTGAATATATTTGCAAAACTGCATTGAACTGTAACTATTCCTTTCGCTGCAGTGACAAAGGACCAACTCTAAATCTTCGGTCATAAAACATTCAATTGGCTTAATTACCTCTCATGAAGCACACATTTGAACAATTACCTCGCCAACTTATCTTATCTAATTGAAATCAAAAGTTGCATCTGCCCATAAACCGTACCATCAGAATTACCTACCCTCAATATGTGCTTAAACTTCCTCAAGACTCAATCTGTTTTTCCACCACGCCCGACACCCGACACGTAGAAAATGTCAAACGGAACATGACTACCTACCTACTGCCGACAAGAAACATACAGTCATTAAACATCCTCGTGGGATAATTAACGATTCACAGCGAAGGCATCACTACACCGTGCTTTCGGTTTGAATCGGGCGCGCTCACCATCACACACGACTCACCTGTAGTGCCTGCATGCAAAACTTCTCGCTTCTGATGGTACACTCAAAAAATTCCACACACCATCATCATGTGTCTCACACTTAATTTTGCGCTTGTTGTGAAACACATCAATTTCATGTGTGAATCTTATCCGCAAAAAAAAATCCAATAAAAATATAATGATTTTCATTATCATTGTAACCATGATATTTACTGTCAAAACATTGGACATTTCTGTCCATTACCATAAAATCACAACGAAATTCATGGTTCACAACAATGAAAATCATGGTATTTGAGAAATTTACAGTAAAAAGGGGGGTTGTTAAGCATCTTAACAATATAAAAAAGTGATTTTTTCCGAACAAATTTGATCTCATCACACTAATTTTCGTTGTTTGAGCATTGTATCGTTAATAATCGAAATCTTTTTTTTCTCCCGTACAATAATTTAACAATAAATTTTAATGTACTCAAAATTCAACAGTAAAAATCATTGTAATTTCGTTGTTTTATTATAATTATTTTTTTTTCGGGTATGCTATGAATCATGCCTGAACTCTATGGATTTGAATTGTGACACACTTGGATTCTATGTGCCTCATTTGGTGATATCATTAGCTTTGCACATCATAATTCAATATTCTACAATATTCTACTCTATCGACTTCTACTTTACTTACTCTAAAAATGAATCGACAAATATATAAACAAAACTGACAGAGGCCAGAGCTGTCACATACCTTTTTAATGGGTCTGATTTGGGATTCGATCATGGACTGTTGGGGTGTGTTGCTGCCGGAGTCTTCGTTCGAGCTCACTGTGCCACGGTTGTTCTCATATATGAGGCGGGTTGATAGGATAAATTCACAAGCAGTGTAGGGAAAATATCAAAAAATCAAATCTCACCAACGCCCAAGATCACGCTTGATTTTCTTAGACAGAAATCAACAAGCAAACAACTGCGGTTGATTTTGCAAGCTGTGATATCGCAGCTCGAAATATCAAGCTAACAAAACTTACCAACTGCAAATCTCACCAAACTGTGGTGAGATTGAGTTTAATGATTGTTGCTTTACACCCGAATGCAGCCGAAACTTCCATAACGGCTTGCAGCAGTCCCTTCGCGTCTGCCATCGGTGAAGATTAAAAAGAGATAGCAAACGATGCTTTTTCTTTCTAAGAAAACGATGTGCAAAGGAATCATTTTTATGTTGAGTCAGCTCTCAGTTTGATTTTTGGACGTTGTGAATAGTCTCGCAATATCAAAGGAGCTTGTAAAATCAATATCAAGCATGATATTTTGTTCCAAAATCACGCGTGATATTGCGAGCGCATGAGAGCGGAAAAATGTCAATTGATTTCTGATTTTGCCAACACTGGTCACAAGTCTTGTTTTCGATGTTGATCTTTCTGAGCAAGCAATTCACATCGCATTGAAATGCAAAACGCTTTAAATCCATCTGTTTTAAACAGTGTGATTCAATGTGCAATACACTTGAATAGATAGTGAAAGATTTTCAACATTTCAAAGTTTGAAAAACTATAAATTAACGTGTATAAAACATTGAACCAAGGTGGAATACATTTAAAGTAAATGTGATTGTGCTTTTAAAAAATCAAGTGTTTAAACACTTCGATCAAACGTGTGGAATTTTTTGAGTGTAGAGAGCACCACCGACGATAGAATACGGGAAGATCTTCCTTTTCGACCACAATTGTGCAATATGCAAAACGACGACTGTTTCGGTGCCCTGCGCCGGCTGCAATGGAGATAAAGTTATTTCCTCCAAACATATATTTTACAACGGATTGGCTGAGGTGCATGGGGCCAACGGAAGACGGGAAAAGTTTTGTGCACATCCACACAAACACTCCCGGAACTGCTGATGGGAAACAATTCCAGACAATGAGGTACCCCGCAGGCAGACAGTCGTACGTTCCCTCATATGCTGCGATGGATGCAAGGATGATACGGTCGCTGCGCTGTTGGTGGTCCCAATGGACGAAGAGTGCGCGAGCTACACCGGAAAAGTGGAAAAGTTGCAAATAAAGATAAATATGGTTGGAAGTCTTTTAGGAGGAAAATTAACCTGTTTGTGCAAATTTCGGTGTGCGGCTGTATGTGAAAAGCCCGCCGCTAATGAATGGGAGCCCCGCACGGTTGTCCACACGAGGGCGTTGAAATATGGTGCTAAAGTGGCGTTTGGGGAAAACTGAGGATATGTCTTATTTAGACGTAGTTGAGTTAGGGACCCATGTCAAAGGGATGTCATAGTAAATATTATACGTTAGCAGTGTCTGTTTTATACGGATGGCAACATTTATTTTAAACTTGTCTTTTGAATCTTAATGTACGATTGTTTCTAATTCATGAAATGGTGTCTTCGCAAATACGACTTGTTATTTTTCGATTCTTTTCTTATAGGTTACCAATAAGGTAGCCTGGCTGAGTTTCGTTAACATACAAATTATTTAAAATACATAATAATACGAAGAGAAAAACATTTATATTAAATTGAGTCAGCAATGTCCCATCTCGCAGTAAATACTGGTTCCCTGAAGTGATTGGTGGGGACTGGTTTCAAAAATTTCTCGTTTGGTGCAAGATGGCACACTTCTGACTGCTTCTGTTAATTAATTACTAGACTGCTTCTGGCGCATTACCGCATTCACTATACAACGGGGACGAAAATAACTCGAACCCCTCTCATTCGATGTCCACTGATTACTGTTTCGCATTCTGTATCCCTAGAGCTGGGGCTCTACAATCGATAGCTACGAATAATTACTGAACTATACACACTTATCTACAAGAGAATGCTGAATCAAGGGTAATTGAAATGTACAGAAATAGCGGCACTGTGCGCCACATTTTTATGTTACGACGTATTTCCTTCTCCCGGGACGGTACTCCTTAAATTAGCACAAATATTCAACAATCAAAGGTATACTGGTCTCCGTCGGCTGGACTCCGTGGTATGGGGCTCGAGCTTAGTTCATGATCTGCTTCTTTATGCTCTCGACGGTATCCTCGATCGGAGCAAGCACCGTGATGACAACCAGAGCCACCACAAAGGCCAAAATTATGAGAATGTAGAAGAACAGCATAACCTTCCGGAAGCCGGAGAACTAGAAATCGAATGTCGTATTTAGTGAAGCGAAAATGGCAAAATAACTAAGCAATACTCACAGCTGCATCCTGCTTGCGATCCATGGAACTCATCGAGTTTCGCGATGGAGTCATATCTGCCATCGGGAAGGACGTCACACGTTGGCTGTTTCGCCGTTCACTGACGCAGCCACCGATCTGTATCCAGGAGAAAATCTAATTAGGGCGGTTGGAAGTGAACTGTTCTGGTGAGTGGGACGTTCTGACGGTTAGTATAGGAAAGGAAAGGTGTGAACCGGTGTTAGGTGCGCTTTCTGTTTGTACAGTATGGTGCGGATATTTTTCCATGTAAACAAATATGTATATACAAAACGGCGAGACTCAAGTTCCGGGAGAAATTAATTGCACACTCTTAATCAGGTAAAAAAAACATGTCTATTAGCTACGAGATGCAAACAAGTAATCTAATTTCGCATTGATAGCACTTTTGCTCTCATAAGTTTCACTACGCTCTAGAAAAAAAAAAATGAAAAGTATGTTTTGTGGAGGAAACCGATGAGTTTGTTTTACCCGTTGCATCGATTGACATACTTAACAATCCGAACAATTCATTAGCTCCAACATCAGATTGTATCATTAAATATATTTTATTCTAATTACTTCGCCAAGTTCCTCCTGAGACGATGTTAAGAACATCAAATTACGCTCTATCCTCCACCAAATACAGCAAACACTCTGTAAGTTGCTGGTCTGCTTTTGTACTTTCTTTTTGTGCAGTGAGGTAGCATAAGATCACACTTCATGTATTGAGAAAATTTAGTGTCATATCATAAACCTTTCTTTTTCAAATAAGCGTAATTTTACTCACTTCGGACTGAGTACAAAAATTAACGCGTTGCTGGCTACGCATCTATAAGGGATAAAACAAAATGAATACAAACTAAAAAAAAATAAAAGACACTATAAAAGGAAGCCGCTTATGGTCACTGACATTTATATAAGGTCTGAGCCAACAGGCAGCTTGCTGGTGTTAGAAGCAAAAATATTGTAAACATTGCTGAACATACTGCGAACAGATAGAAATACACTGGAGTCGCTTTTTACGCGGGTGATACGTCCCGCGTAAAAAAAAACCGCGTACATTCCGAAATCCGCGTAAAAAACCGCGTAAAAAAAACCGTGTAAAAAAAAACCGCGTAAAAAGCGACTCCAGTGTACGTCGCTGCCAACAGCTGTTTCGTTAACGGCGCCGGTGGTGTAGTGGTAAGCGTGATTACTTCTCACCTCAGCAGGCCTGGGTTCAATCCCAGTCGGCGCCGCCGGGATGTTCTGAGGCATAACATCTCTGATCACGCCTTCCTTCGGAAGGGAAGTAAAGCCGTTGGTCCCCGGTTCATGAGTTGATGGGTCGATAGGTAGGGTCCAGGTGTGGGAGCTGCCTTCCTGGCGCGTCGGTAGCATTGGTGCTCAGCACGGAAAACAAGATCGACGGTAAACAAACCAAAGGAAAAAAAAACAGCTGTTTCGTGTTAAAAGATAAACATTGCAATGGAATACGAACACCACTAAATATTTGCTCATTATCCTAACACCAATCAGCCCTTTGGCTCAGACCTTGTATAAATGACATTGGCTTATAGTGACTAAAAATTAATGACGCGGGTACCGTATAAAGTTCTTTATTCTTTTCCTCTGGCTAAGCTGAAATATGTAGAAAATTATATCCGTCAAAATAAGTTTGACAGCTATTGGCTATGTATTTTCCTCGGATTTTCACTAAAACTTCACGTGAAAATCTTTATTCATAACTGCCATCTCTCTGATTACTTTCCTCCCCAGCATTTTTAATCATAACAGCTCACTATGATCCGGAAGTCGTATTTAGGTGGAATAAATGGTTTGTGACCATTAGTTTAGGTTTAGGTTAGTTTCAGGTAGGGGAAATGACGGCTTCGGCATGGCAGACTATTTTCGGCAACTCAAATTTCACTGAATTTTCTGAAGAAAACACTTCGCTGAATGCATTCAAACTATTCTTTAGTCTTTCAGCTTCAATTTGATTATATTTTTACCGCTGAGAAAAAGCAGGATTTACTTGAAATGAAACACACGCACTACAAAATGCTGCTGATTTCGAGTTGCCGATGAAAGCACAGCTGATTAACACGCAGCTCAAATAGAAAGGTTGCCGAATAAAAAGAGGTTGCCCACAATAGTCGCTCTCACTAGAGAAGTTTGGAGCATTGTAAAAGCGTTTCAAACCAGTTTTTGACAATTCTTTCAACTGAAATTGTTAGAGCAGCTGGCAGCAAAAGATTGTAAGCAAACCAATACTGCATATGTGTGCGTTCCTTAGAGAAAAAAGCCTATAGAAAGATGATCGCTGCTTAGGTTGCCAAGAATACGTAAATTCCCATACATGGTGTCTTCAGGAAAGTTTTTTTTTTTCATTGCTATTGTTTAATGTCCAAGACATTAGGGAGTCCTTACGGTTTATGAGTACTAAATAAAAACTTTTTTGTCATTCGAGATAGACCATCTATCTCTAATGGTTTACGTATGATATAATGGTATAATTTTTAATAAGTAACTGAGGCTGGCGCAAATTTTTGCTAAAGCAATATAGTAGCTACTTTGTTTAAATCAATTTTTACTGAAAAAATACATCATTTTCATGTCCAACAACTCATTTGAAACAATGTTGCTTTAGGAATAAATTATCTAACTCTAATGGTTCTTGATGAGTTGTTATGGACATTTCCGAACATCGACGACAACTACACCGGATGCGGTATTCCTGAAGTAGCAGTTCCATGAACACGGGGCTCTAAAGCAACAGATGAATGACCGACGTCCACAGCGACTCCAATTTAGCAACACAGCGACTCATCGATAACTCCATCAACGGGCATTGTACTCCTGACGCAGCAAAACCACACCGATAGCATAAACAACAACGACGACGACATCAGCGACGGCAGCAGCGACAACCAAGGTTGCAAATACTCATTTCAGCTAAAACAATGTTTTTTTTTTTTAATTATGAAATAATTAGATACTATGATCATATTTTGAATTGGTAATATACAAGAAGAGGTTGCAAAGAATGTGTTTGACATATTAAACCTGTTTATTTCACTTCATGAGAGTCACAATCAGCGATTTTTCACACCCTCTCACTCACTCACTCACTCACTCACTCAGCGATCAGCAAATCGCTGATTGTGACTCATAGAAAGCAAAATTTACAGGTTTTATGTTACAAACGCATACTTTGTAACCTCTTTATGTAAGTTACAAGTAAAACCTGTCATCATACCATCTTTTGGTTTTATTATTCCGAAAAACATTATTTTAGCTGAAATGAGTATTTGCAAGCTTGGCGACAACAGCAGAATGGAACCAGAATTTCTGATGCAGAATTAACCCAGTCTAACGTTAAGTGGGAAACTAGTTTTAATTCTCGAGGGCAATCAATCGTAGTTTGATTTTTGAAGTGTTCCGATCGAAAGTGTAATGTTCGTGGTAGATGTAAGAATAATTCTTACATCTACCACGAGCATTACACTAATTATTAGTGAAAATAAATAGTTTTGATCTGATGTGCATTTTTAAAAAGCCGATCAGCGATTTGTTTTGAAAGTACACGTGTTTTAGTCGAGGGGGGCTTCACATCTAAATCGCAATTCTAGATGCTCGAAAAATCTCACAGAAGCGAATCAATCAACGAAAAATCTTCTTTCATATCTCGCATCTACTTGCACCGTGCATCATCTTTTTTAGCAAATCTTCAGAATCGTCATCAATCTCCTACTCAGTGTTCTCGCAGCTAACCACAGCAAAACAAAATCTTTCCGGCTTCGTAGATAGAGTTACCCCCTCCGTGTCAGTGGTGAAAGTTTCGTCTCGATACGTGCAGTATTAAAAAACTTGTACTAGATGGAAGACGAGAAAAGAAAATTGATCCTGCACACCCACGTCGAAACCCCGAAGTGATCAATTCAAAATATCGCGAAAATTGCCGTTTCTACTGTGGGAGATGTTCTCAAGCGTTTCCGTGAACACAAGAGTGTGGCCCGGAAGGTTCAAAGCAACCGTCGTGCTGGAACATTGAATCGGCAGCTGAACTGTAAGGTGTTGAGGTCGATCAAGAGAACCCCCAGAACTCTCCGATCGGGATGTCTCCACAAATACGGTGCCAACCGTAGTACCGTCTGGAGGATCCGTCTGCGACCAGAGTACCGTTCATTCCGTGACTCCAAACGCGATGAAGCAGAATCTTGGGGCCAGAACATGCGCCCGGAAGGTGTATGACCGGCTTCTGACGAAGTACAGAGGATGCCTTCTCATGGACGACGAAACCTATGTCAAGATGAATTTCAGGCAGGTTCCCGGACAAAAGTTTTATCTGGCCACAACAAGGGGTGATGTCCCAAGCAAATTCAAGTTTGTTTTCGCCGATAAATTCGCCCGGAAACTGATGATCTGGCCGCTGTACGGCAGATGATGGCGGGAATTCCAAAGAAAGTCACCGAGTTCAACCAAACACCGTCGGTGTAATTTAAAAATAAACATGAAAAAATATGAAAGTGCAATAAAATACCTTCATTTGGACTAAATTACATTTCTCTTAAGTCAAATCAATCCCGAGAAACACCTGGTTTCAAGTGTCCGAATTCTAAGTGGACCAAATTTTATAGGCTGACACCTGGAAAATCGGTAGTTTTTAAACATTCCAGAAATGCCATAAAAATTTAAAAAGTAACTAGTGTCACGTAGTGAGATAATTTTGAGCTAGCTAATCCACTAATTTGAATACACTTATTAACTGTTTCCCGAAGACGGAAGCATTCTAAATGGCAAAGATCTTAAGATATATTTTATACAGGAAATTGACTTGCACATTAGTGCCGCATAGTGAGAAAATTCTGTACTACTGTTCGCTATCTCCATTGACCTACTGTGCAATTTTACCGAAGACAGTAACATTTTATAAGCCCAGGATCATGATATATTCAGGATTGTCCGAAAATCCGCAATAGCAATTTCTTTAACTTTTCTTAAATCTAAGACAGCATATCAAGAAGACTGGCAACTCTGTCAACATTTAAGCGACAAATACTGTAGCGCTGCGTCTGAGTAGCAATAGATAACAAATGTACAAATACGCAATGAGGTTGGCATCTCTACTATCAAATTCGCCTTGAAGTTGAACC